TTTGCAGCCTAGCGATCCGGATTCATTCGTTTTGCCAAATTGCGGGCATTATGCCCTCTAATTTCCCCCAGGATAAAACATGAATCTTCACATCTTAGCCGCCAATTCCGATTTATGCGCCCTTCTATCCTCCGCATTCGCAACACAGCTCGTCATCCCGCAGCTGCCTGCCGAGGCCGGAACATTCCGTCTGACCTCCGAACCCCTCGCTGCATGCATCCCGTCTGTTATGAAATGTCTCCCTCTGTTTTACTGCGCCGCATTCATCGTCTCTGGCCGGCCTCCATTTGTCCTGCTTTGATGCACAATTTGCGATTGTCCCCATTTAGAATAATTACAGACAGTGCTGAAAAATCTGTGATAAGTTACTTTCAAGTTAATGAGCCTAGTATGTTAGCTGAAGATCAGAGACACAAATGTTGCTTTATTTGTTGGTATTTGACCAATTTTTTCGTAAACAAGTGACAGTTTGTGCGCTGTTGTGACAGGGTTGGTTCATTTGATTCCATCTCTTTGGACCGTTTGATGAAGAGGATCGCTGAATGACGATGTTAGACGTTAGCTTACCACGCTAGCCGCCATTTGCTTGCTACACGTGATCAAAAGGGCCGGCTTTTTGTAAACAAAGGACTTTGAACTGCGTTATCTGTGCTGTTTGACAAAAAGGAGCACAAAGTAAAGACTTAGACGACAACAGGTATGTTAGCTTCTTGCGCTAGCATAGAATAGTCACTTGTGAGCTAAGGGTTGATGTTGTAGCGTTTTACCAGACATTAATCGTTGTCACGGAAATACACCGGCCGTTTAGGAAAATTGACATCCCCCCCGCCCCCCCAAAGAAAGTACTATACTGTGCGAATCATCTCATTTTACAGAGTGGTCATTGTTGTGTTCGTGCGTCAAAACGTACAAACCTCATCTGCCTTCTGTCCGAGGAGTCCTTCGCACGCTCTCTCTTCTCTTTGGACGTCTCCATTGTAGTTTGTAATTAAATCTAAAGACGAGCTCTGCGAGTCCAGCTGGACTCGGCTTGAACTTGTGCGGTTAGCTGAGGTCCACGACATTGGAGCAATAACAGACAAATACGCAAAATGACATCCTCTTCAGCCCGGTTTTTTTTTTTTTTGGGGGGGGGGTGATTTTTGCATCCTACATTGATGATGTGGAGTGTGTTTGCTTGTGAGCGTTCTCCCAAGCTTCTTGTCCAGATCGCTTCACCGCCCTCTGGCACGGATGCTTTTACGGTTTGCGGTGAAAGGAGAGAAGCGCTCCGGCGGATTTTCCGTCCGCGGCGGCAAAAATAAAAACGGGGCGAATGCAGGCCAATGCGGCTCTCGCACGCACTCGCAAGGCCACTGCGCAAAAAACTTTCCTTTTTCAACCGACGCTGGGCAGGCATTTTTTTTTGTCCACAAAGGCCACATTTGAGTTTTAAATGGACAGATGGGCCAGGTCGTTTGGAGATGAGGGACATAAAAAAAAAAAAATTCAAATGTGAATGGAAAACCTCACAATGGATTATTTGAATATGATATTTATCATCCAATTAATAAAGAATTGTAATTAAGTGAGTAACTATTTAACAGAATAAAAATGTTGTTTATTTAGCACATTTTTCTGTTGTTTAATGATGAAATAATATTGCATGCACAAGTCATAGTAGTATTATTTATACTAGTTTTGATGAATTATTATCAAATAATTGCTTAATTATCAATTAAGCAATTATTTGATAAAGTGAAAATTTTTGATTTTTAAAAAATTTGACTACTAGTATTGTATTTTCGGTAAAAGATATTTTCATAAAATCATGTGTGTGTATATTTTCAGATTTTATTGTAGTTTAACAATGAATACATTAATTCATTTATTATTAACTGATATCCATCAAAAATGATCGAACGACAAATAATTGGGTAATTGATTCATTGTAAATAAAATACAAAATATTAGAAAAAAAATGTAAACTGTTACGATGGCAACCCTTTCACGACCACTTCACTTTATTTTTTTTGAAAAATGACTTATGTTAGTGTTCGTACAGTTACAAGCATGTTACTTACACTTGAATATATATTTTTTCAACATTTGACTCATCGTGAAAAATAAAGTTTTCCAGCAAATTATTAATTAATGAAATATAATGATGAATGAAAAATTAAAAACAAAAGAAATATTCGGAAGTAAAAAAAGCACCCATCCCTTGAGCACAGAAGTTTGGTTTAGACTTTGGCTTGTGTGCGTGCATGTTGACAGGACGGTGGATGATGAGCAAGGATGGCGTGCGTGTTGGCTTGTAGCGTTTCACCAAAGTGGAGGTGAACGGCCCTTCACTCACCGGGTCTTGAATCATCGCTTTCGGAATGCCATTGGATGGGAAGAGGAAATGGGTGGTAAGGCTACACCGGGGCCAAGAAAAGAAGCTCCACCTTGATTTTTACGCACCCTCCCTTCCTTTTCATTTTTTTTTTGATAGATGCTATTTTACTGCCGCACGCCATACGGAAATAAACGCTAACATCTGTTCTCGCAGACTTCGGCTGAGTAATTATGTGTGATGATGCCGGACCATTAAAGTTGATTAATCCGGGACGTTATTGTTGGCTGCATTGCCGCAGTTCAGCTGTCGACTCTTCTGCGTTGCGTCAAAGTCGGTTTTGCCTTCTAGCTTGTCGCGTTCAGAAAGTTGCACAACTTTTGGTGGAACTAAGGACTTTCATTTGGATCTTCCTGCGACCCGGTGTGGTTTGTTTGAATCCGTTTTTTTCATGTCGTCTGACTGCTACATTAGCTTCTTAAGCTAGCATGCCCCTTGTAAGCACAAGGTAATATTGTAGATTCTAACAGCAAGTGTGTATTAGTCGTTTTAGCTTCTCATGGTACCTTATACTCTTTACAATGCATGTGTTCAGGACTCAAAACATTCAGTGATTTATAGACCTGTAGCGTGATCAGTAGGCGGAAGCAGGTCTCCAAGTGTCCACCCGTCCATAAGTGGCGATCTTGTGGAGAAAAATTGCTGCCATTGGGGGAAATTGATAAATACAACCGGATGGAACCCGCATAGCCATGACAGCCAACATTGGCATTCCAAAGCCTTTGACCCAAGGGTAACATATGCAGAATATCCAAAAAGGGGCCCTAAGATTGACCCTTGAGGGACCCCAAATGTCATAGCCATTCAATCAAATTTGAAACTTCCAACGGTGACAAAATAACACCTTTCCTCCAAGTAGGATCTGATCTATTTAATCCTACCCAGGTTTGCAGCAACAGGATATTCTCATCAATTATATCAAATGCTGCACTCAGATCCACAAGGATTAGCATTTTCTCTTGATTCTTAAATGAAATTGGAATAAAAACCAACACCAGACAATGAGAGAAAGTAGTGCAATTTTCCCTAGGATGTCGCCTATCAAAATCCTTTCTATCCATGCTTAGTGGGGTTTTTTTCCATTCGTGTAAAAATCACCTCTCATGTCTGCTTCCTATTGTGTTAACACGCAGCCTGACGTGTTAAAATGAGACCGCCAGCCAAGTTTTAAGCGCTTCCTGTCGCGATAAGACGGCGCAACACGCCCAGTCGGGTTCTGCTCCACCTGTCATCATCATTCCTACATTTTTCCTCTCTCGCCGCCGCCGCCTGACTAATTCTTCACGCGCACTTTCTCCCACCCAAGCTGTCAGGCGTCAATCCTATGAAGCATCGCCCTCTCTTGAAAGGGGATGGGGTCACAATATTACAAAAAGGGACAACCGGCGGTCCCTACACACACACCGTCCGATTGAATCGTTTGCTTGGTCGATGGAAAAAACAGGAATATTAAACAGAAAAATACACACTGGTGTCTATACACACAATGTTATTTAATTTGGTACAGCAACAATCTGACTGAATATGTTGCTAGCTAGACTGAGTACCACAAATACTGACAGTCAAAACCTTTCCAGCCATCTGACGTTGCTTTCAGCTGTTTGGTCAGCAATTTGCTGGAATTCCTGCTGATTCAGAGGAGTCGCATGGTGAACGAGGCCCGTGTACTGTCTCTTTAAATAGCCCATTCGCTAATCAAAGTGATTTACACGAATGCTTGTCACTGGAGCATAAATTAACTTTTGGTATGGTTGGAGGGAACCGGGGATGGGGGGGTCGGGGGGCTTATCTACTTCCCGTAAATGCGCCTCCGCCTCGGGCTTGGCTGCCGTTTGCCACTTGACTCTCAGACAGGCGTGGGCAGGTGGGTGTATGTGGCTGTGTGTGTGTGTGTGTGTGTGTGTGTGTGTGTGTGGTGTGTGTGTGTGTGTGTGTGTGTGTGTGTGTGTGTGTGCGTGTGTTGTGGTGTGTGCATCTGCATTTGCATGTGTGTTTATGTGAAGAGTGTGAATGAGTTGGCAGGCCTCTCTCTTGTGTTTGGCAAATGTGCGTTTCAGTTTTCTTATCCACAAGCATCTGGTGTGCAAGACTGGAAATAACGAATTTTTTTTTATTTCTTAATTCACATTGTTCGTCGCAGTAAACTGTATCTTGTTGTCGAGAAACATTTTCAGTGGAGCAATTTCAAACCAAAATGTGCACTTCATATCTCCTTCTTTGTCCATTGTGTGAGCACACTCAATGCAAAAAAAACCCCAAAAACTTTAGAGCTGCTACTCCCTGTACATACTCACTGACAATGAGAGCACCACTGCCACCTACTGTAGTGGATGTGCAACCACACTTTAGTACGGCCCAAAAAAAAGCATCCTCCAAGCATCACACATGCCCTCACATAGAGCTGCTACTCCCTGCACATACTCACTGACAATGAGAGCACCACTGCCACCTACTGTAGTGGATGTGCAACCACACTTTAGTATGGCCCAAAAAAAGCATCCTCCAAGCATCACATATGCCCTCACATCACATTGCATCGGTGTGTCATTTTTATTTCATCAAGTGGTTGCACGAAATTTATTTAAAAAAAAAATGTAATTATGATGATACGTTTGTTGCGCAGGTGGTTCTGCGAGGGTCGCGAGCTGCACAACTCCCCCGACATCAACATCTGGCAAGATGGTGAGCTTCACACGCTGGTGATCGCCGAGGCCTTTGAGGACGACACGGGACGCTACACCTGCGTGGCCTCCAACAGCCTCGGGGCGGACAACACTTCGGCCGAGGTTTACATTGAAGGTCGCGCGCTGCCATATTTTGCATGTCGCCACACCAAATTCTTGAAAGTGCTTGAACGTCAGTGTGCGGCGGTGCCTTCCATTGACTGCACAGCGAGCAGCTGTGAAGTCAAATAGGGGGAAATTGTTTAAAAAAAAAAAAAAAGGCTTCATGTTGTTTAATGCCACTTCCACTCTAGGGTTACAGTCAAACTAAACATCAAACAAAGAGCGTGTATTCAAAACAACAACATCTCTTTGCAGGAGGAAACGCTTCTTAGCTTAATGCTAACAAACAATGCAAACTGCCATAGACAAGTGGATAACAGCTTGCTCGATGGACGGAGAAAATTCCGATGACAAAAACACAAATCGACCTTTGTCCTTGGTCTCGTTTCAGGCGCGTCGTCATCAGACTCAGACGGAGAAGGCTCGCCGTCCAAGTCCAGATCGGCAAGCATGCCCGTGTACGTCTTTTTATGCCTGCTCACCCGCTGACCTCCCAGTCAACCGAAGTGTAAACAAGGTTGACGTCACCTCGCAGCAGATCATCGTGCCGCTATCAATCACAGCCTTCAAAACTTAGACATTGTTTGGGTCAGATTTGCATCTGGAAAAACATAGCTGCAGCGCAGCAGCGGTTCCCAGTCGATGTTTGATCCAGAAATGAGTGGCGTAAAACATCCCCCCAACCCCCCCAAAAACGCAATCCCTTTTTCTCTTTTATTTAGACTGCAGAAGAAAACGACTTCCATGTGCCTGACGATACGCTCGGCGTCTCCCAAAACTCCGGAGGTGCTGCCTCATCGCTCCACGCTGGTCCAGTCAATGTCGCAGCCTCCGCAGAGGGTGAAGATCCAATAGTGACCAAAAAAAAAAAAAGGCAATTCGGGGCAACATGTTTGTGTGTTTGTTTTGGTTGGTCTTTCTAGACGCAGAGCCCGGTGTCGTCGTTGTATGGCGGCGATGTCTCGGGTCCGCCTATGTTCACAAAAGTAAGTCTAAATACACAAGGCGTTTTTATTTAACTTGTCATCCTCATCATGGAAGCAAAAAAGACTAACAGTGCCGGAAGTTTACATGGTTACAACAGAGTACCGTTCCAATCGCGCCGATGTAACCCAGATCCTGACCAAGAGTTAATTGGAAAGCACTGTCAGGTATCAATTAACCTCTTTCAGATTTTTTTTTTTTTTTTTTTTGTGACTTTGACTGATTTTTGTCCTATATTTGGGTTTTTGTCCATTTTTGTTTGATTTTTGCTCAGAGGGTTTTGCCTTTTTTTTTGTAATTTCTGGGGTCAGTTTTTGTGGGTCTTGTTTTTCTCACAATATCTTTGTACAATGTTGTTTTCAATTTTGCTCTGTTGTAGTAAGACATCGTGAGATTTTGTTTTTTTCTTGATGTTCCTATTAATTTTTTAAAACTCATTTTTGTTGCCTTTTTTTCATATTTCCAATAGAGTTTGCCATCGATTTCCAATTTTTGGTCAATAATTATTTCGTCCATAAGGGAGTGCCAAAATTACAAGCTCACTCAACAGGTTAAAACGGACCTACAATGTGGACACTTTTAAATAACGCCTTCTGCTTTTGTTTTTTTTCTTTGTTTTCATTCAGTTGCTGCAGGATACGCAGGCGTCCGAAGGCCAGGTGGTAGTTCTGGAGTGCAGGGTTCGTGGGGGCCCCCCTGTGCAGGTCAGGTGGTACCGCCAAGGCGATCAGATCTTGGACTCTCCGGATTTTCGGATTCTCCAGAAAAGTATGCGACTTTTATTTTTGAATGCTAACATGCTAATCTTAATTTTACGCTAACCTTACTTCACATTCGATCATTTTTTTGCAATTTTCACAATTCACAAGTTGTAACATAATGTAGCATTCATTGCATAAATTCCTTGCATGTTTTAACATATTTGGCCAATAAAAAAAATGACTGATTCACTTTTTTAATTTTTTCTCGGTATGAAATGTACATCAGAGCCCCGATCTGCGGCAGAATCAGGTACGTCCTCTGATTGTCTGTCTGACTTGACAATGTCGCACTTTGTAGTCAGACGATGTAAACAGTCTGAATCACCACGAGGCACACACTTGAGTGTTCAGGTGTTTTCTCTTCAGACTGTGACTCACCTGCACGGGCAACTTGTTTTGACTCACCTTTGTGCAAACGACATCGAAAATTGCTGTCCTTCACTTGCACGTCTCGTGTGTCTGTCATGTCTCATTTGCAAACATTTAGCGTGTCAGCATTGCAGTCGGTGTCTCGTTTCCACTTTACTGCTTTAGCCCCGGGGTAATGTTAACGCTCCGCACATTCAAGTGGTGCGGCCAATCCAAAGGGAGGCACGGTGAAAGATTTGCTGTTTCAAAAAGGGAGATGAAGGATAATCAACCTAAAGTTACCTCCGGGGTCAGCTCAGTAGCACAGATTCAGTACAAAATACATCACAAATGACATATTTTGGAAATAAGTTTAGCGCTGTAATGTAAAATAGAAATCGAAACAGTTTTAGAGCTTTTCGAGCAAGATTGGGTCTGTAGCAAATAGAAAGAAGCAAAGAAGAGCAGGCAGGAAGGAAGGAAGGAAGGAAATGGGAATAAATGAAGGAATGAATACAGAAAAACTTAATGAATGTAACTCAAGAATATCAGGTGACCTGACAATGATCCCTGTGGGACCCCACATCACATATCTTCTACTTGTATCTACGGGACGTTTCTTACAGTTGTTTTAATATTATTCTCCAGTTTTGTTTTGTTTGTTTTCCTCAGATGAGATCTGCACCCTGGTGATTGCCGAGGCCTTTCCGGAAGACGGCGGCCTGTTCTGCTGCACCGCCTCCAACTCGTATGGTTCAGTGAACAGCTCCGCCCAACTCACTGTAACAGCGGGTGCGTCCAATGTCTTTGTGTTTGCCATTGTTGAGGTGGGTGAATGGGAGTTGACCACTAGGTCTGGGTGCAGATGGAGATATTTTCCAGTTGTCGCAATCTGCTTGCATTGAGGGTGCACATTAGCATGATTTGACAGGACTGTAGTTGAGCCAAATCTTCCCTCAAACAGATCTGATCAGAATCTGGGTCAAGATTGAGATTTGAATTCGGATTTGAATCACGAGTAAAACTGATATCAGAATAGCGAGCAAAATCAGGATCAAGACTGAGGTTAGAATTAGCACCAGAATCAGGGTTAAGACTGACATCAGAATCTGAACCAGATTGACAGTAGTATTAGGAACACAGTGAGGATTTAAATCTGTATTAGACTCAGGATCAGGTTTAAAACTAACCTTAGAATCAGGACCAAACTCAGGAGCAAGTTTGAAATCAAAATTAGGATCGCAATGAGGATTAATACTGACATCAGAATGTGGATCAGGATCCAGATTGCGATTGGGATCACGACCCGGATCAAGACTGAAATCAGAATGAGGATTGTAAACTGCAGAATTTTAAGGGAAATTTTCCAGCCCTTCGGAACCTTCAGTGTACCTGATCCTGGGGTCATTCTGTCCAAAAGTGAGTGCATCGCACAGTTTAGAGGGATGGTTGACTAAACAGGAAGTGAGGGGGAACCGCTTCAGATGAGAAGATACACAGACACTGAGTTAGATGAAAGCCAGAGTGAGATGAGGGGTGGGGGG